CATAGAGGTGGTGAAGAAGGGGGAGACTGCCTGCAGGGTTGAGGAGAGCTGTATCTCTCCTCCCCAGCTGGCCATTACTCCCTTTCCCAAAGGCAGTTGTAGCGGTGGTCAGAAATGGCCACCACAAAGAAGAACTCGACCGGAAAAGAATGTGCAGGAGGAAGATAAGAAGAGAAAGTTTTGGTTGACCGGGTCAAACAGCAAAAGCAACAAATAAGGTACCCTGGAATTTAAATTTAACAACATTGTTCCCAAAGAAGATTTTGAAGCTGCGAAGGAGAGAGAGAAGGGAAAGGATTAGGTTTTTTTTTTCTTCCCTTCCTTATACTGACAGCTAAGAGACTTAAGCAAGAAATTGAAAAAAATCCACTTTGACATTAATAGGCATCTAAGCTGAAAATAAAAGTCAAAGGGAGAATAAAGATTTCTGGATATTTAAAAGCTTTTAAAAAGTAGGAAAGGAGGAAAAAAAAGAGTAAAAGGGCAGGATCTGGAAAAATGGAGGGGACTGCCTGGAACTAAGGAATGGAACTGTAACTAAAAGGAACTGACAGTGAAATTTTAACAAGATTCCTCAAAGATACATTTTAATTGAAACTTGGTAACAAAATAATAGAACCCCAGGAAGAGAAAGTGGAAAAAAGAAGCAAGAAGAAACAGCCTTGGATTATTTGGATTACTTGGTGATTTTTGGTTTTTGCATCTGGATGATTAAATTAACTGAGTGGTTGTTTAAAAGTTTTTAAAATGGTATCACTCTTAGAAGAACTGAAAATGGAACTTAAAAAATGGAAAGAAAATGCACAAGAAGGGAGAGGTTTTTTTGGCTTCTATTTCAATTCTTAGAAATGGAGATCTGAAATTATGAGAAAACAACAAGAAACACTTGCAGAACAAGAAGATTGGGACAAAGAAGAAGCCATCTTTAATGATCAAATATTTTTAAGTGAGGGGGAAAGAAAAGGGGGGAAAGAGAGTGAAAGGTTTAAGACTAGAAAAGACAACCAAACAGAAGAATAATAATTTGAAAGATAAGTATAATATTAGAAAGCAACAGAAAAGGGGATTACAGATGAGAGAGTTAGAAGTAGAGAGACGAGGGGGTAAAAAGGGGAGGGAGAAGAAGAGGGGGGAGAAGGCAAAGAAAAGAAGCTGTAAAAGACAGAAACAAGAAATGGAGAAACAGGGAAAAGATATAAGGATTGTAACCATAAGCTTGTTTAGAGATAATGGGTGAAAATTTAATTGCAAAAGGGATTCTGCAAAGGTACATAAGATAGCATTGTTATATTACAAACAGAAATAATTTTAGAAAATATGATTAAAATGATGGATAAAATATTTACTGTAAGGTAGTTGAATGTTTGGTAATAAATAAATGAATTAAAATGATTGAGAGAATTAAATGGGAACATTTTTAATTATTCGTAATGATTTATAAAAATATAAGTGAGAAATATGGAAAAAAGATAATTAACTATGGAAAGTTTATAAGTGTTCCCAAGGAAGTATGATATTTAATTGAAAAGAAATGTTAAAGATGTTAAGATTTTAATGAATATTTTAATCCAGTTCTCACCAGTAATAGCTGATAGAATTGAATTGGAATGGAATGTGTGCTTTATTTATTTATTTATTTATTTATTTATTTGATTTGCCAATTGTTTACAAGATAATAAGTATAAGAGTATACATAGTTGTGAATACATGAAATGGGTACATATATGAAAAATAAAAGAATAAGAGAAACAATAGGACAGGGACGGTAGGCACGTTGGTGCGCTTATGCATGCCCCCTACAGACCTCTTAGGAAAGGGGTGAGGTCAATAGTAGACAGTCTAAGGTTAAAGTTTTTGGGGTTTGGGGAAGAAACTACAGAGTCAGGTAGAGTATTCCAGACATTGACCACTCTATTGCTGAAGTCGTATTTCCTGCAATCAAGTTTGGTGCGGTTTACTTTGAGTTTGTATCTATTGTGTGCTCTTGTGTTGTTATGGTTGAAGCTGAAGTATTCACTGACAGGTAGGACATTGCAATGTATGATTTTATATACCATGCTTAAGTCAGACCGAAGACGGCGTAATTCAAGGTATTCTATATATGTAATTTTTTCTTTTTAAGAATATAGTGTGTATTTTAAGAATGTACCAAGCAGAATTCGACTGGAAGTTATGTATTATATTGAATGCTATAATCTTAAAGGTATACATTGAAGCTTAAATAAGAGTTTGAATGGATAAAATTAAAAGATATAAAGGTGTCATACTCCAATTGGTAACTACAGGGAAAAATTTGTTTAATAAGAAAAGATAATATGAAATTGAAACAGGACAGACAAAAGTATAAATACAATGATTTGAATTGAGATGAGATAATTAAAATAAAGTTGAGAAAATTAAAAGAGGGGGAAAACTATGTAGAAAATATAAAACGGTAATAAGATATGGAATAGAATATAAAAATGAGCATGAAATTGAGTTTGGTGTCTGTATGAAGAAGTGATAACCTGGGACCATGCTATTTTCAAAAAAGATGTGTTTTTTTTATTTGTATTTTGTTTTTGTGAAAACCCAAATAAAATTTTCAAACAAAAAACAAGGAATTGTATTTGAAAGTGACAGAGCATTAATGAAAGGCAAAGTTTTCGTAACAGTAATAGGAACTAGTAGGGCAGAGTTGTCTTTGCTGAGGCATTTTTAAGAACATTTCTCCAACTCATTGGGATTTTGTCTCTGTTGACTGCAGCGAGAAAATGTTTCATTTTTGGACGATTGCCATATCTCATCCAGGACAAGAAGGTTGTGGATTTGGCAATGTGCCTACCCCCCACCTGTGCCTCCCACATTGATTTCTAGAACAGCCAGCAATGCAGAGAAAGTGGATGCTTTTTAAACATTTTTTTTACGTAACTCTTCGGAGTTAACTTGTAACACACTATTCAAACTGCCATTTCCTATATTCAGAGCAGCTTCAGAAGAATCAATGTTCTTCAAGGCACAGGACCCGTGT